TTCACTTTTTATTTTCTTTAGAGCATCTTTAACTTTGTTAATCCTAATTTTTCGACAATATCTATAGTTTTTATCATTCACAATACGAGCTAATTCTCTATTTTGCTCACTTGTTTGGTTATCATTAAACCAGTGTTATCGAGGTGCGCGCCTCGTGTGTACTAGCACTTGAGTCGGGGCGCACCGAAGCGTGCGCCCCAGACTTAGACTGAATATGAGTTGGGTTTCAGGTTTTACACCCGCAAATGACACAAACCCGTTTTGTAAGTTGAGATGAATTTTTTTTGGGTTTCAAGCCGTTCTCTTTCTCTAAACTCACGTGCCTGCTCCCTCTCTCGTCTTTCTCGTCTCTCTGCTCCCTCCCCGACCTCGACAAGTCGGCCGTCGTTGCCGATGACGATGACCGACGACGATGCCGCCGTCGACCGGCCCCGACCTCGACAAGTCGGCCGTCGTTGCCGATGACGATGACCGACGACGATGCCGCCGTCGACCGGCGACTTTTTCAACAAAATCAAGTTTGTTCCTGCTTTTTTTCTCCTTTTTTTGTTTTTCTTCTGTTTTTTCTATTTTGAAAATATTTCACATAATTACATATTTACATCATGTAATAGACTCTTTCTTGCTAGTTGCTACTTCATTCTCCAATTTTTTTCAAGTTTAACCTGTAAAAAGAAAATAGTAATTAGTAATTTAGTATAATTGTTGCTAATTGTTACTTCCCTCTCTAACTAGCATGCTAACTAGAAAATTATGAACATGTAAATTTGTAATTGTTACTTAAAATACATATTTTATATTTTAAATAAAAATACATATTTCTTATTTGTTACTTTACAAAATCAGTGAGCATAGTTTGATGATGTAAGTTGATATTTTCATAATTTCAGATGTAGGTGACTAATAAACTTGAGTTAGATGACAATGATAATGAGGATGACTAAACATTCTGTTATTTTGCTACTTGCTTGTTTTGTTTCGTTGACTTTTGCTTATGTTGGATATTATTTTGCATTGTGATTTGTGAAAACTTATGAATTTCGCTATGTTATGCATGCTAATTAAGACTCTTTCGTGATTTAGTAGGTAAAATTATATTTCTTAGTCTTTTTATATGACAATTTATAAACATGTTGGGGCTATATGCTTGTTTGTCTTATGTTGAAAAATATTTGTTTGAGGTGTGCACCTCAATTCAGTGAGGTGCGCGCATCGTTGTGCGCATGGCTCATGGTGCGTGTAAGGGGCCTTTGCGTCCCGCATTGCGCCTTGCGCTTTAATAACATTGCATTGAACAATTAATGAAAGTAACTCCTTTACCTCTTTTATTTCCCCGTCGGTCACTAGAACTTTTTTATTTTTCACTTTTAATATATCTAATATTACCCAAATCCCTACTCTTCCTTTTTCTAATCTTAGCAAGCTTATATATATCTTTCTCTCTCTCCTTAGATTCTAACTTCTTATAGAAATTTTCATAAGTTTTGTATTTATTCTCACTAACCGCTCCTTTTGCTTCATTCTTTGCTAGCTTATATTTCTCTAAGTTTTCTCTACTCTTAGACTTTTACTACCCCTTATATAAAGTTTTCTTCTTTATAATAATCTTTTGCACACTCTCATTCCATCAACTCTCCTTACCATCTAATCTATACCCTTTAGAATCTCCTAGTAGATCTTTAGCCACCTTCCTAGTACAAGAAGACATGTTATTCCACATAATATTAGTCTCATTATTTATATTTTCTATACTTCTTTCATTATCTTATCCTTAAAATGCATTAAATGCTCTCCTTTTAAATTTTACTATTTAGTTCTTAGTCTCTTGTTCATGTTAGTTTTTCTACTCCACTTCTTAATAGATATGTCTAATACTATCAAACTATGTTGTGTAGTTGAACTCTCTCCACGTATAATTTTACAATCTTTACATGTTAACATATCTGCCCTTCTAGTAAGAAAAAAGTCAATTTAACTACTATTAAATCCACTTTTAAAGGTTATTAAGTATTCATCCTTTTTTTGTAAAAAATGTATTTGTTATTATCAAATCATATGATGTTGCAAACTCTAAAATCGATTCTCTCAAATCGTTCCTATCTTCATACCTGAAATTTCCATGGATCATCTCATATTCATTATTATTCTTACCAACAATGTCCATTAAGATCCCCTCCTATAAACAATCTCTCTCAATGGAATTTCTTGTACCAATTCATCTAAGCTATCCCAAAAATCACTTTTAGTACTCTTGAGCAAGCCTACTTGTGGTGCTAAAGAACTAATAATATTAATAACCTCTACATCTAATACAACTATTATTAGTATTATTCTACCTCCAACTCTTTTTACATCTACAACAATTTCGTTTATTAAGTTATCTACAAGAACTCTCACTCTGTTCCTATTCTTCTCTTTTCCCGTGTACCATAGTTATATCCAGCATTTTCAATTTCTCTAAAATTTTTACCTATCCATTTAGTTTCTTGTAAACAAATTATACTTATCTTTTCCATCCTCTTTCCGGTAAGTGTACCTATATTCCAAATAGCTAACATAATTCTATTCTCCTGTAAAAGTCTCCTACTATTTTTCTTTTATATTGTTCTAGTTTATGTCTAATACTATTTGGCAACCTATTAGAGGATTGTAGACTCTTAGGGGGGGTTATTCATTGGGGTAATTTGGGACAAATTGCGGTAATTTGTTCCAATGGGGGTAATTTTACCCAATAGGATAATTTGAGTGGGATAAATTGGGATAAACTGGGATAATGGGATAATTTGAGTGGGACAATTGGTATGATATTTTTTTATAATATTATATTTATAGCTCAATTAAGTTTAAGTTTAACTTAATATAACATCAAAAAATAAATAATAGTTATAATATACAATAATATTATTTTTAAGATTATTTTAATATAAAATAATATAATAATATTAATAATATTAATATTAATCAATCTTTGAATATTTTGATGTTTATTTTAATATTTATGCTATATTAACAAATTTTTTAATTGCAATAATTGTTCAAACATACAACCCCAAAATCTTTAATAACACACAAAAATTTTCAACTGTCATACAAATCACCAGAGCATAGTTTCAACATCAAATTATCACAAGTACGTAGTTTCAACATCAATTTATCACAACAATACAAGAAAATTCACAAGTACATAGTTTCAACATCAAATTATCATAACAATACAAATAAAACACCATCAAAGATCTGCCTTTAAACCAGAAAATGACAGTTGTGGTTGAATTGATCCACGACGCCCATTGACCCAAATCAACAAGATGATCTCAAATACGTACCTGGGTGCGCAAGAGGCGGCGGAGGAGATGGCGCTCGGCGAACGGGCTCGAGAACGACGACGGCGCTGGCGGAGCGGGCGTTCGAGCTCGAGAACGACGTCGGCGGAGTCGGCGAAAGAGCTCGAGAACGGCGGCGAACGAGCTCGAGAACGGCAATGGCGGAGGGGGCGAACGAGCTTGGAGAAGAACATACAATGCATTGAATTCATACTGCAATCGGTGAAATCACATTCAACACAGCAATCATAATAATGGAATTTCCCAATTGATAAAAACCCATTTGAGATCTGGATCCAATAACCAAAACCCATCAGCCCAAGCTCCTCCTTGAGCTCCGCCCTCCACCCAATAACCAAAACCCAGCAAACAAACTAATTTGGGGGAGTTTTATAGCTGGCTCGACCCCGATAACCCTAGCTGGCTCGACCCCGAAGACGGAGGAGCGCGCGGTGGGGAACGAGAATGGCGGCATCAAAGTGGGGTAATTTTGTTCCAGCAAACGAAGTGGGGTAAATTTTGAGGGTGGGGCTGAGGGGGGGTTTTATAGCTGGGATAATTTGGGGGAAAGTGGGGTATTTGTCCCCCAATTACACCAACAAACTAATAACACCACAAAGTTAACACCAGTTTTAATTACACCAATGAATAACACCAAACATTGTTGTTCCAAAAATTACTCCATTATCCCCCAAATTACACCAATGAATAACCCCTCTTAGAACACCCTTGCTTACTTGTCATTATATCAGGGTGATAGCGATGTAACGCGTCACTTCCGAGGGATGCCCTAGCAAATCACCCTCACTTATTTATCATAGTATAGGGGTGGTATCGATGCAACGCGTCGCGGCGTGAACGCCTCAACGACTACTTTATAGAATTCATTTTTCATGTGGATCCGACTATGTTTTACACTAGTTGTCGGCTACCTAATACAATCCTCCTCTTTTATTCTAGATTGGGACAGATTATCCTAGCTTGGGACCGACAGTGTTGGCAACAAGATAAAAGCACTGGCAAGAAAATATTATGCATGTATTCACCTACAATTTATACAGACTTCAGAAAGAAAGTGAGAAATTGTAGTTCTCTATTTCTTTCACTCTTTTCATGGAACAAGAACCGAGATTGACCTTGGACCGCTACGATACCCCCAACTCCACACTTTTACCAGTGTGTAACGCTTCAATGGCACAGCTATCAAGTTTTCAACAGATATTGTTGAAGCAAAACGCCCTTCCAAGGTACTTTCCATACCCCAGTGGGACGGCTTGACCCCACTGAACAAGGCATTGTTAGCTCTAGTACCAGGTTTTTAACAAATATTGAGACAGCACCTCAATAACTGCTAAATAACCTACTATGGTTTCAACAGTATGTTGATGAAGAGTTCTGTCCAATAGTGTATTTTTTCTGTTACGGTTTTTTAATTCAAACACTAAAAAGAAATATTCACATCTCTGAATCGCAATTTTGGTTGTGATATATGTAAACGAATCTAGCAATAGCAGGGAGCACCACTCAACCACCCTACATGCGCACCAAACAAAGAAATACACAGAGAAGGGAAAAGAAAAAGCTCTCAAACATATATATATGTAGGGCGTTAGAATTCCCAACCATGTAGTAGTGGAAATGAAATAGTATCTTGGGAAACAGCACTTTCAGGTCTACCTGCTCATAAAGTTGTTCAGCTCTGGCTGAGAGATTTTTTTTGTGCCGCACACCCCATAAAAATTTCATGAGACCAAGAAACTGCAAGTTGAGGAAAAAAGATTAAAACATCACCAATGGCAAATGAACAATATTTATAGCAAATTATTGCTGTTGACTTACAACTGCAGAAGATGTCGCTACAGAAAAAATATGCCCATATATCCATTGACGGACACAGCAAAGGACAGGCTTGTAAGATTCTGCTCGCGTGTCTGGACATTTATACTCCTTGCTTCTAGATCAAAAAGATGGTTAAAAACATGAGAGTGCAACTCGTCCCTCACAAAGCTAATAGTCATTTTGCTTAATATTATAACTAGTTTGTTTGAAAAACAGTAAATGAATAACGCAGTTCAACTGGCACATTTGAAAAGGATATAGTCCATAGAGCATCTCAATACATACATACAAACGAGGCAATGGGCACGGGAAAATGGATTTTAATGTCGGTTTTACTGTCTCGCAAGCAAAACGCAAGAACAAAAGGTCAATAATTGGAACTGCATCAATGGTAGCTTCTTCCTAGCAAACAAATTGTACAAAAAGAGGAAAAAAGAAAAGGAAAGAGATTAAAAAAAAGATTGTGAAGGTAAGTCAAGTACCCATTAATCAAGGCTCTTTTCTCTAAGGAGTTTCTTAAAGTATCTATAACCTTTTGTTTGGCAAGCATAAAAGTGTCTTCTTTCAGACCCATATTGTTCCTCGACTTCTTTTCATCAAGTAACCTCATAATATCTGCCTCTTCAAACTGAAAAGTCGGAGCACTCAAATTACAACAATTGAATTGCTTCTTTATTAAGTTGCATGAAAAAGAAAAACTAGCATGGAAATAATAACAGACCCATATTTTACCAGCTTCATTGCATAAAACTTGAGCATGTGCATTGCAGACATGGTCTTCTACCCACTCTGTCTGCATTTAACACAAATTCATTAACATTAGTTATACGAGAAAACATACAGAATGAGTCTCCTAATACATCAGATAAATGATAAAGTAGCTTCAATAGTTCCAATATTGTCAAGGACTCACAAATTTTTTAGCTGTTTGGCTAATTTCTCCATCCTCTATGCATTTCCTCCCTAGCTTCTTGTAGCCATGTGAACACTCCAGTTGGCCACTGGAACAATGTCCATTGGCAGGACAAGGTTCACAAAACTCTGCAATAAGATTTGCTTCATCAAAAATGGACAGTACTACTTGTCAGAAGAAGACAAAATTGAACGCCAAACTAGAAATATTAGTGGCAATGGAGAATTATCCCGTAAATGCTAAGATGCAGCTTACAACAATCAATCATTTTAGAACCGAATATATCATGGATAGATAGCTATATAATTAACGTGTTTCACTGTGTATAGAACAATTCCCCAAACAAAAAATAATTATACCCGACACATGGACGTGGCATGCACTGCAAGTCACAGCATACCCAGTAGAACAAAGTCAAAACTCGAGCGTGTTCATGCAGATGCTATGAAGTTAAGACGGTGATGCTTAACAGAAGACCATAGTCCTGTCATTGTTCGAGCTCCCAAGTTCAAAACTGAATTGAATTCAGGTACTAGTTCAGGCAAAACATTATCAATGAGACCAGACAAGTTAAAAACATTTCGATTTTGGAGAATTGGTATGATCATGAAACTTTACACATAAGAAATTCAAACATTTTGACCTCAACTGTGCATTATAATATCATACTATCAGAATGTGAAAATTGCCATCGGGCTGAAATTTGTGCAAATTGCAGTATCATTAAATTTCAATTCTTTTCAGACCGAAATTGCCATAGCCTCTAATGCGACTAAATTCGGCCCTGTTCTCTTTTTAAGAAAATGCTGAAACCCTAAGCTCACGATTCATCGGCACGAGGAATCAAGAAAACATAGATAAACAAAATGTACAGGCAGGAAACGTCGGGGTTTAGGGTTAGGGTTTGGACCGGACGTCGGGTCTTGAGGAGCCTCGCGGGAGTCGCAGAAGGGGTTGGGCTGGCGATTGAAGAAGACGACGGCTCTGTTGCAGGCGAAGGCGACGGAGGCGGCGATGGCGATGACGGCGAAGAGCCTCACGACCTCCTCCTTCGAAGGGAAGAGATCGGGTGGAGGATCTCGAGGGA